TATATCCGCTTGTGATTTTTTGAGCGCGGTACGTCGAGCTGGCGGGACACAAAACGCGGTCTTCAGGCACGAGCGAGAGAAAGAGAGAGAGAGACTGGCAACAAACAATAAGAGAGCAAGGGAGAACGGTATATCGTCGTAGTGGTATAAGGGCATAAAGCCTAGACGATGCCATGCGAGGAGGGCAAGGGACGATGCGAAGCAAGGGCGGCGGTATGCGTCTGTGAAATTCAACCAAGCTGTTCCGCTGGTAATAATGGACGAGAGGCAAGCGTTGAAATGCAAATTAGAGCGCGGGTCGCGGACAGCTTGATACATGTGCGGGGATTGTGGTTTCGCGCGATGCGCACCGCCGCCTATACTCGCGGAATAAAGGAGTTTGTTTTGGAATTTTACTTTACGGGCGCGAGGGTGGCACTATATAACGTCACGCGTGCAGGTCACCCTTCTCTTCCTCTCTTCACTTTCTCTCTTTTTCTTTCTTTCTTTCTTTCTCTCTCTCTCTCTCTCTCTTTCTTTTGCTGTCTTTCTCGCTTTCAACCATCGTTCCGTCTGTTTTAGTCGTGCATTAGGCGCGTGTGCGAACAGCATTCGTCACCGACGAAGAGCCGCTGAAAATGATCGTTGATCATCGTACGCGCGTCGCGTAAACTGTTCTTCGTGCCTGCGGTTGTTGTGTCAAAACGTACAATTTCCATGACGACCTCTACGAGTATAACGCGGCGTTACGGCGCTTATTATGTCACCGTGGACGGAAATGAAAGGCTATAGGAAGAGAGATAGAGAAAGAGAAGAGTCCGCGAACCTCTGTGAAATTGACACCCCATTTTCGAAAAAATTAATTTTTTATTAAAATTCTGAATGCACCCCAAAGAATTCTAGAGTTCTTCATTAAATTTATAAATAATTCCGGCGAATTAAATAAAAAATCCACTATTAAATCTGTGGGGTGTTAATTTCACAAAACGTAATCACAAAATTAATTAACATCTTAATCTACCGCAGATAGAAAAGAAGCTATGCGATGGAAAGACTCGCACCGAAGTCAAAAAATATACATATGCCAGGAAGCAAACACGATGTCCTGCAGATAACTGTATAGACTAGCATATTCCATAATGCAAACGGCAGTAAGCATACAACAGTGACAAAGAATAACACGGACAGAGAAAGCGTGAGAAAGAGAGAAAGCGAGAATGGATAGAGCGAAAAGAGGAAGATACGTGATGATTTCTGTGCAAAGGACACGCACGTCGGCCGCCAGTGGATGTTGTCATGCGGTGCATATATGCACAATGTTTGCGTCCTCGACGGTACGATTATTGTCCCGAGCATACCAGCGGGGCCGCGCGCGCTGTGAGACGCGTTCGCCGTTCTGAGACATGCATATACGTGGCTAACGTGTTTGGTGACCACGCATACCACGAAAACTGGAAGCTCGTGTGCGCTCTCTCTCTCTCCCTCTCGCTTTATCCGGGTCACGACGCTGTGCTTGGCCTCGGAGAGCGAGCTAGAGATGGTGGTCACCGTGGAGAGAGAGTCACCGTAGAGAGTGGAGAGAGCCGGCTTCAAGGATGACGCGGCAAACTCGAAACAAGGGGGTTGTCGCGACGACCGAACTCATCCCGCATACGTAACACCGCTCTACCGCTTCTCTCGCACCGAGATTTATGGCACGCGCAACTGGAGCGACCACGACGAAGATAAGATTCGTCTACGATCAGGATAACGAGCGACTGTCGAGGACTCCCTCTTTCCGGACAAAGAGTTTACGGGGAGAATCTGTTCGGGGCGATCTATTGTGGCATCGCCATGCGCGATGCAATTAGAGTGCATATATATATATATGCGATATGCGATCCCAAGGATCTAATCTATAAATAGAAACGCGGATATTTGTTTGATATATGACTCATTTATTTCCTACAAATACGCGCTGACGAGATATCATAGAATTGCCAAAGTAACAATATCTAGGATTACTACTTCGTATTCTCGCGCAATAGTCGTGCAAAGGTCCACGGCGATGTCGCAAACTGGCGGCGGTCATAATTCTGTCGACGCGAAGTGTAGTATAGTCAAGATGACATTTGTTATCTCGCGCAGGACACATGAGCGTCTGGGAGAAGTTTTCTACTTCTCTTAATCGTCGGTCGGCTCACAGGCTCGGAAGTTTCTTTTCTCCGCCGCCCAACTCGTCGCATTTACTTCCAGCGAAGATCGCGGCAACTTTTCCTTAATATAACTAAATGACTGGTCTGAAGGCCGTCGTGAAAATGTTCTTGAAAGTTGGCGCCACGAAGATGAAGAAGCCGCAACGGTTCCGAGACCCGCTCTCGGATTAGACCAGTTTACCGAGATGGTACCTCGCGCCCCCGTAACCATCATGATTGCGCACTCGGTGCTCCTTCGAAGAACATTCGCACGATACTTGATAAGACTCTTTGAGGTTACCTTCAAATCTCTGTTGTTATTCCTCTCTTGTTATTGAATGATAAAATTAGAAAATGTATTAAAAATTAGAAAAGACTTTGTTTTTTAAAGATAGACTGAAATATTTTACACTTATTTTTACATTGGAGTTGTAATTATTTATTTAAAGATTTTAAAATAAAATATTACAATCCCTATCTTTAAAAAGCGACAAACAGATAATGAATCATATAATTAACAGAGAGGAATAACAAGATTCAAAAGAAACAGATCTACAAGAAACGCCACATATATCATTAAGCAAATAAAGGATAAAGTAATAGAATTTTATACACTTGCATATGTTTGCTTTGTCTACTTAACGAAAGCGTTTAAAAAGGTTCACAACAAGAGCAAAATCCTAAAAATATTAATTAAGAAACAAACATCTCCTAATATCGTAAAAATCATACACAAACTTAACATTGACAACACTACGAGAGTTAAAGCCAGGGGACACACAATGGAGGATATATTTACACTAGGAAGAATTAGACAGCCTTAGTCCATTCCTCTTTAATCTTGCAATGGAAAATCATAAAAAAAGTTACCTCGCTGATACAGAATGAACAAATTTATTAGTATGGTATGTTACGCCGATGATGCAGCAATCATTGCAGAGACCGAAAATGATTTATAAGGACAGTTTTTTAAG